CTGGAAGATATTTTTTCCATTGATTTTTACAGAGGGAGGGAGGGAGGGAGGAGAGAGAGAAGTGGGGGAGAGGGAGAGATGTGAGACAGATATATTTATTAGTTGCGTCCCATACATGCCCTGATCCGGGATTGAACCTTTAACCTAGGTATGTGCCCTAACTGGAAACTGAACCCAGGACCTTTTGGTGTATGGGACGACTTCCAACCAACTGAGCCACACCGGCCATGGCTGCTTTATGTTATTTCTAAAAATATGTGTAGAGCAGTTTGTTTATTGGATTCCACATATAAGTGAGATCATGTGATATTTATCTTTCTCTGACTGGCTTATTTCACTTAGCATAATACTCTCCAGGTCCCTCCATACTGTCTCAAAGGGTGAGAGAGCCTTCTTTTTTACAGCTGCATAGTATTCCATTGTGCAACTGTACCACATCTTTTTTTAAAAGATTTTTTATTTTTATTTTTTAGAGGAAACAGAAACATTGATGTGAGTGAACATCAATCAGCTGCCTCCTGCACGCCCCCTACAAATCTCGGGGGTGGGAGGGCAGGAAAAGATTAACCAAAGATCTTATATGCATATGTGCATAACCCATGGACACAGATAATAGTGTGGTGAAGGCCTGCGGAGGGGGCGTGAGCATGGTGGAGGGAGTCAATGGGGGCAAAAATGGGACATCTGTAATACTTTTGACAATAAAAATAAAGAAAATATGTGTAAAACTATGAATTTCATTCAGGAGTAAAATGGGCATTACAAAATATTTTTTTTAAAATGGTGGCGGTGGAGGGGAGGATATTGGGTTTTACTTGGTTTGCTTTTGACATTTCGAAATACCTTTTCTCAACCTATTGTCCATTGGTTAACCCTGTCTATATTATACATTTTTTTTGTTTTTTTTATAAACAGCTTCATTGTCCTAGCCAGTTTGCCTCAGTGGTTAGTGTCAGTCTGTGGAATGAAGGGTCTCGGGTCTGATTCCCAGTCAAGGGCATGTACCTGGGTTGCAGGCTTGATCCTGGGCCCCAGTTGGGGTACATCCGGGAGGCAACTGACTGATGTATTTCAAATCAATGTTTTTTTCTCTCTCACTTCCACTTTCTGAAAAGCAATGGAAAAAATATCCTTGGGTGAGGATTAAAAAAAAAATAGCTTCATTAAGATATAATTCACATACCACACAGTTCACCTATATAAAGGGTACAATCCACCATTTATTGGTATGTTACATTACTAATTTAAAAAAATTTTGTAAAATATATATACAAAATTTGCCATTTAAACCATCTTAAAACATACAATTCAGTGGCATTAATTGTATCCACGATGTTGTATAATCATCACTATTATGTTATTCCCCAAATTTTTCATCACCCCAAACCAAAATTCCATAATAATTAAGCAGTAACTCCTCATTCTTCCTCCTCTCTTGCCCCTGGTAACATCAAATCCACCTTCTGTCTCTAGGAAGTTGCCTATTCTAGGTACTTACATAAGTGGAATTGTACAACATTAGTCCTTTTGTGTCTGGATTATTTTACTTAGCATGTTTTTAAGATTCATCCATGTTGTAGCCTGTGTCAGAACTTCATTTCTGTTTATGGCTGAATAATATTCCATTGTATATATGTACCACATTTTGCTTTTCCATTCATCTGTTGATGAACAGCTTTTACCACTTGTCAATGTCAAGCATTAAATTATGAGTTTCCAAGTCAGCAGATTTTAAATATTTCAAGGCCTTTCCCTTTAATAATAAGGAAGAGGTTTCCCTTGCCCTATTAATCAATATTCAGTATAAGATCATATTTCTTATTTTATTCTATAGGTTCTAATCCATTAGTAACATTAAACATTAATGACTTTGATGCTCAAATTTTACCCGATTTGAAGGGGGCTGCTCCTTTAGGCTGGCTCTTATCCTTTGATATATTTCTATTTTATTTTAAATATGTTTTTATTGATTTTAGAGAGAAAGGGAGAGATAGAAACATCAGTGATGAGTCATTGATTGGCTGCTTCCTGCACGTCCCCTACTGGGGATCGAGCCTGCAACTGGGAATGTGCCCTGACCAGGAGCTGAACCATGATCTCCTGGTTCATAGGCTGAAGCTCAACCACTGAGCCACACCGGCTGGACTTCCATTATTTCTTGAGCATTTTCTCACTTTTAGGCATAAGATGCTACAGGCTCCTCTTGAGCTTTCCCTGCCTTAGTCTTGAAATCAGGTATTTATCCAGGGAGTCAAACATGTTTTTAGTATTTGCAGTATTCTTATTTGAGAATCATATTTTTAAAAATACTTTTTATTGTGTTTAAAAACATGTCATTTTATATTTATATCATTTTATATTTAACGCCTATTAATTTTCTAGGGCCATTTAAAACATTTACCTACAACCCAATAAATCCCAAGAGACCCTGCTCTTGTGACCAAGATTCTCCCAATTCTCCTAGTTTTTAAGAATATAAATTAATGAGGCTGGCAATGGATGAGAGTATTTACATTTGAAAACAAGGTAGTTTTCAAACAACACATGTAAAATGAGGCACACCTCAGTAATTTTTGTATCTTTGTAAATACTTCACTCTGTTTCTAGGTCCAATATTGGAATTTACATGTTATTTTAAAGACAACTAATATACAGCTAACTGAAATAAAATGTGTAAGAAGTTTATGTGATATAAGATACACATGAGGAAACCTGAAATGTTAATTTGCTCTACTAGGAACATCAGGGCTTGTAGAATTGATACTGGCCTTGTATATCAATTACTTGTTTCTGTAAGTTTTTGTTGATCCTTCCAGAGAGCATATTGTGCTATTATGTCTAAGAAATCAGTGAATAACTAGGTTTTCCATTTTATCAAAGTACAAAGCATTACTTCAATCCTAGGCCTTCTTACTGAATCCAGTATCTGTTTTCTTAAAAGTATACTTTCTTTTTATTAAGAGATTATTTAATCAGAAAGCAAATACAAGGTGTCTTTATATTACAAAGGCAACCAATGAAGACTTAAGAAGGTAAACACCTGGTACTTTAAAAAAATCCAAATCTGACAGTTAAAGCAAAATTCCCACATGATCTTTTCCTAAAAAAGACCTTTTCCAGCTTGTTTCCAGACTTCTTTTACTCCTTTAATGCTTTCTTTTTTCACACATTTCCAGTATTCTTGAACACTTAGTTGTTGTGGTACCTGTTAATCAAAAGTAAAATTAAGGGGTCATTCTCTTTAAGGTTAAACATGATTTCATGTATGCAATGTTACATTTATCTCACACACTCCTTCAAAATGGATTTGAGGTGGATTATGCTGTAAAAGGTGATTGCAATCGAACTGCAAAATAAGGGTAAAAGTGAATGTGATGTAAGAATATCCGCAGGATAACCAAGGAATGGAGGCAGACCACACATGATTGGTGAGTCCTCCCTCATAAGAACAGGAAGACTGGCTGATCTTTTATATAATGGTTTTAAAATGTAATTATTTAATAATGTTTTCCTTTATAATATTTTATAATATTTTGCCTTTCCTAGTGAACTTTATTTAGCTATGTGGAATAAAAATAAGCCTAAAATTTTGACTTACCCTTGGCTAAAATTAAAAAGTAACTATAGGTCACAATATATTTGATGAGAAGCCTTAAGAAGAAATAATATAATTCATCTAAGTACTTCGTGAATTGAAAGTACTGTGTGTTAATTATTCCTCTCAACTAAACGAGAAAGTGAAAGTTGGACAACACTGGGATCCTGGTGAGCACATGAGCGCATTACTGGAAATCCACCAAATGGAAGCAAAAGTCTACTTTAGATTATGTATGTGTTCTTTCCCTATTGTCGATTTATAGCTCTTCTCTTTAATGCTTTTTGAGAAATGATAGAGGCTCCTGGGTATATTAAATTGCTAAATGCAAAGTTTGGTTTAATCTTCAGGAATATGATTATTAACTATGAGGTACCAGATGACTACAAAGCTTTTAAGACATGTTTGCCAATGGAAATCCTATTTGTTCATTTTCCATAAGTAGTGTCTGTTTGTGGCAGGAAATGAATGTGCTTTTCTATATCATAAATAGGTTTGATTTTGTGAACCCACCGTATTTTCTCTCTTTCTTCCTCTCTTCTGCCTAACTGCCTACTTACCATGTGGCCCTCTTTGGATCTGGGTTTCCAACCTGCACACTGCCTTCCTGAGAGGGATTCTAGCAGATCTTCATCTAAACTAAATTTTGGGTTTGATTTGTCTCAGTTATAGCCCAATCTGTGAATCTGAGTAAATAATGATATTAGCTAACATCTACTGCAAGTGTCTCAGCCACTATACTAAATATTTTACCCTTAATTCTCATAATAATTCTTTCTGGTAGATTCTACTAGTTTCCTCATTGTACAAATGAGGAATTGGAGGCTCAGAAAAATTAAGTGGCTTTGTAAGATTTGGCAGTCAACAGGTGATAGAGCTGGGACTTCAATCTAGGTGTGTCTAACTGCAAAGGCTGAAGTAAATTCTAGGCTATGATTTCTGATTAGATTCAGATTTTTAATTAATTAATTAATTAATTAATTAATTAATTAATTATCTATCCATCCTCACCCAAGGATGTATTTTTTCCATTACTTTTCAGAGAGTGGAAGGGGGAGAGAGAGAGAGAGAGAGACAATGATGTGAGAGACACACTGATTGGTTGCCTCCCGCACTCATCCTGACCAGGGCCGGGGATCAAGCCTGCAACCGGGTACCTGCCCCTGGCTGGAATTGAACCTGGGATTCTTGGGTGCACAGGCCAACTCTCTAACCACTGAGACAAACCAGCTAGGGCTAGATTCAGATTTTTTTTTAAAACAGCAAAGAAAATGTTAGATCCCATCTGTAGGAGGTATCTCTTTATAAATGATGAAAGCTACCTTTAGATTTCCTCAAATTCTAGGTTTAACATCATCCATTTAATTACATGTAAACATGTAGTTAAAAACTCAAAATCTGTTACCCATAAACCTCGGTGCATCCTGTTTTTTAAAACTCCAAGAAACTCTCCATGACTAAGGCATTCATCACCATCCAAATCAAAGATCTTGAAGACGGTGTCCAAAATATTGTTTGAGAGCTCCTGTCCTGTAGCTACTTTCACAGCTCTCTTAAACTCCGCTAAAAAAACCAAACATAAAACAACTCATTAGCCATGTGAAACAGTCTAAGGGAAATTAATTTTTCATAATTTGAGAAGTAAAAACAAATCTAAATATTTATTACATGGGAAGTAAATAAAAAACAAAAATACACCTGAAGAATGTACTCAAATAATAAATTTGGCTGAGAAGTGCGATGAAAGCAACTGCAAGATAAGCGGCTGTTTGAATATAACCAATGTTTCAAACACAAGTATTTAAACATTTCCTTCAACTTCTCAGGGGAAAAGAAAGAAAGTAAAAGCAAATAGAGTAATTGTTAAATATGAGTGTTGGTACTGTAAATTCAGAATAATCACACTGAATTAAGTAAAAGGCCAATCATTGCTTTTATCAATAACTGGCTCCGTGGATGATATCATCTTGTTGAAAAAATGATAAAAATTAAATGATTCATAGAACTTACCTAGTCTGACAGGGCGATGAGCTAAATTAAACATCTGCATGGCAATAGCGAAGTCTTCCAAGTGGGTTGTAAAATGACAAAATGACTTGAACTCATCCAAACTTATGCTCTAAAAAACAAAACGGAGTTTTTATTATGATTTTATTATATTATACAATTTATGAAATAACTATGAGTCCTCTATCATACACCTTATGAACTATCTTTCTAAGCAAGCTTATTAAAAAGGTTGAGATGCAGAATAACACAATTGTAGATTTCAGAGATGAGGAGGAATTCCAAGAAATTAACTGGCAGGACACTGGGTATGACTGTGCAGACTGTACCCTGTGTGAATGGGCCTCCTAGAGTGTGTGCCTGTGCACACAGACTTGGGGTGCTCCTGTGTTATGGACTGAATTCTGTCTCTTAAACATTCCTATGTTGAATAACCCCCAATGCAGACTATATTTGGAGATGGTAAATCATAAGAGTGGGGCTCTCATCCGATAGGTTTAATGTCCTGATAAGAAGAGATACCGGAGTGCTCTTATTCTGTGTGTGGGGAGGAGAGGCATCACCAGACACCAACCCTACCAGCATCCTGATCTTGGACTTCCAGGCTGTAAAATTGAGAGAAAATAAGTTTGTGGTTTAAGCCACTCAGTCTGTGGTATTTTGTTATGGCAGCCTGAGGAGACTAATACATCCTGTTAAGTGGCCCACCTTGTAGCTTTTCTACTTAGTTTTATCAGTGGACATAGCATTGGGTTTTGGAGTTAGATGGACCTATGTCAAAATTCCTGTTCTGCCATTTATTATGGCATTATATATTAAATAGGGTAAAATGTCAGGCCTTTCAAAGTCCTTGGTTTTTTTAAGACCACATTGTAAATAAAGACATTAGTCTATTATTGTGATGCCAATATTTCCCCCCATTTTGTTAATTTTTTATTTTGACTTTGATTATAACTTTGGGGGGAAGATGAGGGGAGTCAACAGATTTTTAATTTTTAGGTAATAACTTCATAAATTTTTCCTTAAAAAAAAAAAACAACTGTTGTGAGTAGCACATGTAGGGCAGCTTGATTGCTCTATGTGGGGAATTGACATCAAGAGATTTCAGAAGCATAATTTTTTGGTACATGGGCAGCTGGTGGTGATTGTCAGTCCTGGTGCCTGCCGCCCCCCATGACCAATTTTTTCCCCCTTAAAAGCTTCTGGGTTTTGTTTAGATTGATAGGTATATTCCACTCTAAGATTACTGTTTCCAAGTTTTCTTCTATTCTTATTCAGTTTCCTTTTCCTCTTTAACATTTAATTCTTTGATCCAGTTGGAATTTCAGAGTAATGAGTGAGGTAGAGGCTTACCTTAATTTTCTCCCTCAGATGGCCAGTAGATTGTCCTACTGTAATTCATTAATAATAATTCTTTTACCCAACTAATTTGTAATGAGTTTACATATATTAAACTTCCATGTGTATTTGGGAAATCTATCTCTGGACTTTATATTCTGTTCAATTGATATGCCTTTCAAATTCATTGTAACTGAACAGTTACAACCATAGTTACTAACGGTTACTAGAAGCCTTCCTTATGTCAGCCACAGAGATTTCAGGGTTAGTTTGTAACTGTAGCAAACTGGCTGTTCTGACTGGTATGACCATCCCATTTATAGACTAATTTAAGGAAGGACTACTGTATTTATAATGCTATGACTTTCTATTCAATCACAGGGAATGTCTCTATAATTAGGTAAGTTTTCTTTCATATTCATCAAAACTTTATAAAATTTTCTCTACATATTTCTAGTTAATTAATTCTTCAATTTTGAGAGTACGTTTATTAAAGGTGGGGATGGTGAGACAAGGAAGGGCTTAGGATAGAATAAGCAATGAGAGAGACTAGGCGGGGCTGCCTTGGCCCTCCAGAAACTTTATGGGAAAGAAGTGAGCCAAGGAGGGGCTGCTTTAGCTCACTGGGAAGTCAGAGAAAAGGTAGCCTTGAAGACAGGGTCAGGGGGTTAGCCTGGGAGCAGCTGCCACTGCCACTCCCCAGGTTGCAAGTCTCCTGGGGTCTCTTAGAGCTTAGGAGATGCATGCCTCTGGGGGAAGGAAAGGAGGAAGGGAAAGGGATAGGTGTGCTCCCAGGAGGGAGAGTGGGTGCCCGGGCCTTAGGTTTGAGGGTTTTTAATGGCTGGGAGTTTAGGAGAAGTCTTGGGGGAAGATCTCAATATAATATTAATCAGCTTCATGCTGAGGCACCAAAAGGAGATATATTCTCTTAACTTCATCTGTCCTTGGGTGTGGTTGGCAAACGGCACTAATTGGATTTCTGCTATCTATGTCTCTGCTAGGGTGATTAAAGCTATTTATCCTCTGAGAAGTGTAAACAACTTACTCTTTTAAAAAAAAATTTTTTTTAAAATTTCTTTTCATAGAATGAGGAAGGGAGAGGGGGCGAGAGAGAAACACTGATATGACTTGCTGCTTCCTGCATGCCCCCTACCAGGTATGTGCATGTGCCCTGACTGGGAATTGAACCAGCAGCCTTTCACTGCACTGAAAGACGCTCAACGGAGCTAAACCGTTTACTCTTAGGTGTCCTTAGTTAGGGAAGATAAGGATTTTACAATTTACTAGATGGCTGTAAACTGTTTGGCCATTTGACTATCTATATCAGTTTCCCTATTCCACTTGTCCTTGCTTAATAGCCTCTCGTTCTCCCCTCAGAGACTTCCATCCCTGAAATTTTTTAGGAGTGATGAGGGAGGATTATTCATCTTCAGTATCTAGTTAATTTAAAACTTTTATATATTCCTATTCCAATTATAAATGGGATCTTCATTATATTTTATTATCTTTTTCCTCACTATAAAAACAGCTTTAAAATTATATAAAAATACATGCCCATTCCAAAATAATTTTTAGGAACAATATAGTAAAAACAAGATAAAAAGTAAAAAATGCCTTGAAATCTCCACTGTTCATTAATCATTTTAATGGTTTGGCAAGCATCATTTTAAGCATTTCACATATGCACACGCATATGCTACCATATCTTCTGACCTGGAATTTTTACAAAGGACATCTACTTTTGATATACATGATGGGGCAAAAGTAGGTTTACAGTTGTTTGTATGGAAAATACAATAATTACTCTTTTATCCTTTTAATTTGCACTGGCTAAGATTTCCAGAACAACAGAAAGTGACAGCAGTGATAGCATTCCTGACTTTACTGGAAATGCCAAGCTCATAGCTGCTACACTGATTCTTAGTCAACAGTTCCTTAATAAAATAGTATGTGAAGTACATCCTCAACTTGATTTTATACTTAAATACTAGAGAGCACCTCAGTCTTGGTTAATTTGGAAGTGACTTTAATTAATTATAGAAATGTTTAACTTATTATTTCATGTTCATCACAAGCATAACAAAAAAGCATACCAACCTCTCCTGCTGACAACTTCTCTCCCACATTTTTCCAATACATGTCTTTATTTTCAGTGTTAGTGAAAAAAAGAAGCCACTCTGCAAAGTCTTCTTTTCTCATGAAACTCAAACCTTTAGAGAACTGCAGGAATTCCATTTCTTGGACTTCTGTCTGTAAATTCTCCATAAACCTAAAGTTAAAGCACAGAAATGACAAAGTGGCTCGTGCTTTCAACTGTAACACCATTAGTGGAACGGTAGCACCTTCATGAGTTGCACAAGGCATGAATGCTGTGTCAAGGACTGTAGGAGAGGGAGAGTATGGATCAGCTGGGTAAGTCCAACACTGCTTCAATCTGACTCCTCATACTCAGTTTGTTTGTACAAATTCCACTTAACAACCTGCATTCTGACAAACCTAAAGACGTAAAAATTAGTAAAATATTGCTTTGATACAGCCATAAAAAATAAAAATACATGGAAAACAGCATTTTTCCAATATAGAAATATTACCAATAATCAGAGACTTAAAATTCAGTTGGGACACTGTTTTTAGAATGTTAATCATAATTAATGGTTCCTCATAGTTTTCAGATAACAAATTTGATCAATGTAATCAGTGGCTCTGCATCAAAAGCTTAGATTTAACAAAAAGTATTTATAATCTTTTGGACAATAACATACGTTTATGTGACTTTTTCTTTTTAAATAAAAACAGATGGAACTTTTTTTTGCTGTTAATCCTCACCTGAGGATATTTTTTCCATTGATTAAAAAAAAATATGTATTTTTATTGATTGCGGAGAGGAAGGGAGAGGAAGAGAGAGATAGAAACATCAATGAAGAGAGAGTCACTGATCGGCTGCCTCCTGAACAACCCCTGCTGGGGATCAAGCTGCAACCTGGGCATGTGCCCCTACCAGAACTGAACCATGATCTCCTGGAGCCATGAACCATGGCTCCAACCACTGGGCCATGCCAGCTGGACTCCACTGATTTTTAGAGAGAGTGGGAGGGAGAGAAAGGGAGGGGGAGAGAGAGAAAGAGAGACAGGGAGGAAGGGAGGGAAACAGTGATGTGAGAGAGACACACAGATTGGTTGCCTCTTACGTGCCTGACCAGGGCCAGGAACGAACCTGCAGGGAGGTATGTATGTGCCCTTGACCAGGCACTGAACCCAAGACCCTTCGGTGCACAGGCTGATACTCTAACCACTGAAAACATGGGCCAGGCCTTTGATCAGACTGTCAATAGCTTCCTGAAAAATGTAGAAGTTGAAAGACTATCAGGTTAAAAAATATTTTTTGAATAAGAAACCTGAAATGCTGCACCTGATTTATTTATAACCTAAATCATGTGAAAAGCATTATTATCTCTATGAACTTTAACATGCGGCAGATTCCTTACTCATCTTTCCACATGTTAAACGATCTGCACTCTCCGTCATGTCACAATTTAGTGGGAATACATACAGGGTGAAAAAGAGGTACAGTTCAGTTCAGAGGAAAGAAAGCTGCCAAACCTTAGAAGCATGAGGGAGAGTTTGATTTTAGGCTTCAGTGGTAGGTGAGACTTTGAATTGAATGTATTTGATACATACAGTGCTATGTGTCTTTTTGGGTCAAAGCAGATTTTTATCTAAAACTTGAAGCATTTCAAGTTTGGACTGACAGATCAACAAAACCTACTGATATGCTTCATCCTTTGTTTTACTGAGTTTTACTGTGTATGTACTGTGATGACATTCAATTTGTTTCTTACCAGGATTGTTAAAAGAATGCTTTACTTGCAAACAAGTGTACAATGAATTAGAGCAGTAGAAAATATAGTGTAAGAACATGAATAACTGGTTCCTTCTCTTTTTCTTTTTCTTCAGGCTCTGGGGCTGAATTACTATAAACTTAATCACTGTTAAACTGTATATTGCTCTGGTTTAAGCTTTCATTTTAACTAATTATACTACTTTTGAAGAACATAAGAATGTTTTTTAAAAATATGTTACTTTATTTTTACCTTTTTAAAATCCTCACCCAAGTATATTCTTTTCCACTGCTTTTCAGAGAAAGAGGAGGGGAGGGGTAGAGGGGGAGAGAGAGGGAGAAGAGAGAACAAGAGAGAGAGAACGAGAGAGAGAGAGAGAGAGAGAGAGAGAAAAACATCAATATGAGAGAGACACATGAGCCCAGACCAGGGCTGGTGATCGAGCCTGCAACGAAGGTACGTTCCCTTTACTGGAATCGAATCCGAGACTCTTCAGTCCACGGGCTGATGCTTTAACCGCTGAGCCAAAATGGCTAGGGCAAAAAATAGGTTTTTATTAATTTTAGAGAGAGAGGAAAGGAGAGGGAGAGAGAAAAACATCAATGTGAAAGAGAAACATCGATTGGTTGCCTCCCACATGCACCCTGACTGGGGACCAAATCCGAAACCTGGGCATGTGCCCTGGCCAGGAGTCAAACTGGTGACCCTTCAGTGTACATGATAATGCTCAACGAACTGAGCCACAACGGTCAGGGCAAACATAAAAATGTTTTATAATAATCATTCAAAGTCTAAAATTATATGTTTTGTTATGACATGAAAATATGGAACATGATACTACACATAAATATATGAAATGAATTTATAACACATAAGGCCACCAGATGTACTCTGAACACTTTTATTTATTTATTTTTTGGTCAGCAGCAGTTCAGAGCATATCTTTTTTTCTTTCTTCTTTTTTTTAATCTTTATTGTTTAGAGTATTACAGGTGTCCCATTTTTCCCCCCCAATTGACCCCCTCCACCACGCTCCACTCCCTTCCCAGGCCTTTACCCCACAATTGTCTGTGTCCATGGGTTATGCTTATATGCATATAACTTCTTTGGTTAATCTCTTCCCACCCTCCACCCCCCTACCCTCTTCCTTCTGAAATATGATCATCTATTACATGTGTCAATGTCTCTGGATCTATTTAGTTCACTAGATTCTTTTGTTCATTAGCTTCTTGTTAAAGAAGACCCTTCAACATTTCTTGTAGTGCTGGTTTGGTGGTGACGAACTCCTTTAGCTTTTCCTTGTCTGAGCAGCTCTTTATCTGACTTTCAATTCTAAATGATAGCTTTGCTGGGTAGAGTAATCTTGGTTGTAGGTCCTTGTTTTTCATCACTTTGAATATTTCTTGCCACTCCCTTCTGGCCTGCAAAGTTTCTGTTAAGAAATCAGCTGACAGTCATATGGGCGCTCCCTTGTATGTAATTAACTGCTTTTCTCTCACTGCTTTTAAGATTCTCTCTTTGTCTTTAACCTTTGGCATTTTAATTATGATATGTCTTGCTGTGGGCCTCTTTGGATTCCTCTTGTTTGGGACCCTTTGTGCTTCCTGGACTTGTAAGTCTATTTCTTTTCCCATGTAGGAGAAGTTTTCTGTAGTTATTTTTTCAAATAGGTTTTCAATTTTTTGCTCTCTTTCTTCCCCTCCTGGCACCCCAATAATACAAATGTTGGACCTCTTGAAGTTGTCCCAGAGGATCCTTATGCTATCTTCATATTTCTGGATTCTTTTTTCTTTTCTCTCTTCTGGTTGGGTGTTTTTTGTTTCGTCATGTTCCATACTGCTGATTTGATTCTCGGTGTCCTCTACTCTACTGTTGATTCTCTGTAAATTATTCTTCATTTCAGTTCCTGTAGCCTTCATTTCAAATTGGTACTTTATTGTGTCATTGATCTTCTCAATTATTTTTGTCATACTCTTACTAATATCCTTGAGCATCCTTATAACCATTATTCTGAACTCTGTATCTGTTAGCTTGCTTGGATCTATTTCATTTAGTTCCTTTTCTAGAGATTTCTTTTGTTCTTTCCTTTGTGACATGTTTCTTTGCCTCCACATTTTGGCTGCTTTCTGGAGTTTGTTTCTATGTATTAGGTAGAGCTGCTATGTCTCCTGGAATTTGTAGAGTGGCTTTGTGTAGTAGGTGTCCTGTACGGTCCAGCGGCTCAGCCTCCCCAGTCACCTCAGCTGGGCCTTCTAGGTGCTCCCCTGTGTGGGCTGTGTGCACTGTCCGCTTATAGTTGAGCCTTGGTTGCTGTTGGCATCACTGGGAAGAACTGTCTCCTAGACCAATCAGCTGTGAGGACCAGCTGCAACTACAGCCAGAGAGCTGCTGTACTGGAGACAACCCTATGGAGCAGGATTTACTTCAGTGGAGCTTTGGTGTTCACCAAGTATGCCCCTTGAGTGTGTCACTCATGGATGTGGTAGGGTTGTAATCCAACGTGGGCGAGTCTGACCACCAGGTGCACTGTCACTGAGGTCTCCCGGGAGGTGCAAAGTCAGCCTGTGCCAGTGCCTTGCCCAGGGCCACCCAGCATGAGCTACACAGCGAACCGTAGATGGCTGCTACTTGTGCTGGGTTTGGAGTTGTCCAGGAGAGACCAAGCTATGAGCCAATGCAGGCTGCCACTAGCGTCAGGCCTCGGGGCTACTTATCAAGCCGTATGGGGCTCGCTGCTGCTTGTTGGAGAGATTTTAGGAAAGTCCTAAGCATGAGGCTCGAGAGGCCACTTGCACAGAAAAGCCACTCGAAATGGCTTGGATGAGCCTGCAAGTAGGGAGGGGCGGGATTTCCGGGAATCACCAGGGCGGGGCTAAAGGTGTGTCAGGTGCTGGAGATTGAAATATGGTGCCTGCCTGCTGGCTGCGTGCTGGGGGGGGGGGGGG